TTATACAAACCACACCTTTTAATTTATTTTTTGTTTCATTTATTTTAAAATATTTTTTAGATCATTCAGACCCGATCCAGATAAATAATCAACAATCTAGTACGAAACTGTGGGTAAATCCACCCCACTAATCCAGATATTGAAACAAACCTGGCCTTTATTTACTACCGTAGCTTGGCCCACTTAAAACCATGAAACGATTAATTTGTGTCGCCTCTGTTGCTGTTCACTTGAGTCGGCTCATGTGTTGCTTTAGGTGATGTGATTCTCCTCACTGGTTCTTTTGCACTAGGAGCTGTGGCCTGGCCCCCGGTTCATATTATTCTCATGCACGCTCCCTCTAACACCCATTTTTATATGGATCTTGGATCCAAATTTGCAGAGATCCATAATCGACACTATGATGATGACCATGAATATATATAAAATAATAATAATAATAAGATAAAAAAAAATTTAAAAAAATTTAAAAAACATTCTTATCCATTAGATATGAATCTTTAGTTGTAGAGGTCCATCTTAATGGACGTTTGTGAGTCCGCAGGCTAGTGAGTCCGCTGACTTACAAACACTTTTCCCAAAAATAAAAACTATTATTTGAGTATGAAACTCCAAATTCTTGATAGGGTGCAGTTAGCATACGAATGCATTGTTGCTGTAAGGTGCACCTTCAAATTTTATGATGGTATATAATTTTGATGTAAAATATTTTTACGAATATCTCAAAATCTATTTTTATATCTAATTATAAAATTTTAAATTTTAAAATGGTTAAAATGAAGTACATCTATAAAAGATATAAAAATCTTGAAAATGGACGATGTAGATAATATGTTGTAAAATGTACTATTTCTAAAACTCAAAATCTTTTTATTTTTCATAGTCATACATCTCTATGACGAGATGATCAATCAAATGGTTTTTCAACATTAAAACAACCCTTTTCGTTGGATTTTGAAGTGCATCCATAGTTCTACATTATAAGATTGCAACTTGATATAAACTTTTTCCTTCTTCATAACCATTTTATCTTGATCAAAGAGACCGAAAAAAAGAAAGAGAGAGAGGTAAGTTTCATTGCAAGAGAGTAGGTGCACATTTTCACCTTAAAAAAGGCCTAGCCAGGTGGTCTAGTCAGTGGCACAAAAAGGTCGGTTCTTTTAATCTACCACCTCAATCAATGAGCCCTAATCTACAAAAAGTGGACTTGCTTGGTTCCTTGTCTCATCTTTGTTCATCTTCCTTGGAGATCAAGAAAACATGCATTCTACATTGTTATAAAATTTTAAAGGCAATTAAGTAAGGTCAAATATTTTATAACTCCTAATATTTTTTATAACTCCTAATATTCAGACACTTCAACCAAATACCCAAGAAATTTTATTTATAAACATTATGAATAAATGAAGATAACTGAACATAAAAAACAACACATTAAGGTAATTTGTAATTTATATATAAAAGAGGAAAATTTATCAAAATAATCCTATCATTTAAATTGTTTAACATCCTCCAATATTTTTAATCTAATTATTATATTTTCTGATGAAGTTTCAAATAGCCCATCAAATAATATGTCAAAATGGATGAAAAGCTAAGGAAACTCGGCTTAAGATTGTTAAATATTTCAAATGTGAGGAGTATTTTGGATAAATTTTCTACTATGAAATGGTGAAAGAACTTTTAACCATAACTTTAGCGAGGATTTTAAAACCGGGCAGCTCTAATCGAATTTGGTGTATGGGCGATTCGAGTTCTCCTCTCCTATAATTTTTCTATACTATGACTTTAATAATTATTTTTTAACTTTTTTATTGACTCAAATCTTTAAAACCAAACAAATTCCGACTTTGATGGAAATCGATCGGGACCAAACTAATTATAGGAACGTATGGTTCCTGACCTGATTTTCCCCTAAACCTTCCCTCTCTT